TGCAACAGTGGGGCTGGGGAGCCAGAGCCGAGAAGGACACCTAGTTTAAGGGCATGTCCTGTGGGTCAGCAGTTTTGGAACAAAGCTTGTCAAGAGCTTGCCTGAGCGTCCTTATCCAGGCCTCCGGCCTCCAGGATGGCAGCCAGTGCCCTAAACCAGTGCCCACACATCGTCCTGGTCACCGGAGTGCAGAGCTGCCTCCTCCAGGAAGCCCTCCGTGCTGCACCTTACCACCCCTCTCCTGGGCCCGCAGCGCTGGGCTTCCTCCCTCCACTGCAGCAGGTGTCTTAGCTGTCTGAGGCCTGTCATAGCTTCCTGCTAACCAGCATGTGCCCTTTCTGTCCCATGGTCCCTGACATTCAGGAAAGTTTGTGGCATGCACGAGGGAGGGATATCAGTCCATGTGACTGCAGGACTGCCCAGCCATCACCTCCGGCTGGGAAGTCGGCGGAGTCTCTCCTCGGGAGAGGCTGGCTGTTAGACCTCAGTTTACAAGTGCAAGTTCCCAAGCTCCCCTCCCTCCCACACAAGCCTGAGCAGGGGCCTCCCACTCTCCCTCCCTGGGAGGGTGGGGACCCGCTTCCCGGGTCCCCTGATGCCCTGTGGCTGCCGGGGCTCAGGACCTGTGTGGCCCAGAGAGCCTCCCCCTCCCCTTGGCGCCCTGCTGCCCGCCCCCCAGCGCACGCACTCACTTTTCTCTGTTAAAAATCACAAAGTCTTGCTGGATCGCATCAAGGCAGTCCTGAAGGTAGTCATTCTCCTGTTAGAAAGACATACCAATGAATGTAATGGATGCTGTTAGACTCCCTCCCCTCCCCTCAGATGGGTTCCCGAGCGTCCCTCCCAGCCTGTCTCTTCCCCTGCTGTGGCCTGCGCCTGTGGCTTTCTGTGGAGACCTGACCCGGGCTGTTGGAGAAACTCTGCCCTCAGGCAGCCAGAACATCTGGGAGTTTGCATCTCCTGGGCGACCCTCAGCCAGTGACCAAAGGGTGCCCAGTTTGGAAGCCCAGCCACTGCCTCAGGGCAGACGCTGCCACGAAGGCAAGGTCTGCAGGACAAAACTTGGGCCAAAAACCATACCTGGCTTGGCTCCCTCCCCTCCCTGCATCAAAGCCAAGGTCCTGGGAGACAGAGCTGGCCTCTGAAACCTGGGAGGGCCTGAGTGCACACATGTGGCCACGATGGCCCCTTCCAGCCACGAGAGGGCCCTCCCCGCCGGAGGACAGCAGCACCTCCCCGCCCCCCCAACCCATCTGCCTCCACCTGCCCCCAGCAGCAGGGCCTGTGTGAGACCCGCTAAGGTCAGAAGGGCACCGCCTGGTGCAGGAGCAGAGGCCGGGTGGGTGCCCGGAGGCCTGACGGGTGTGGGGCATACGCAGGAGGGACAGTGTGGGTGTGGGGCGTCCTGCCATGGCCGGGAGCTAACTCCCGGGCAAGAACCCTGGAGGGGGTCTAACATGCTGCCGGGCAGCTCCTGGAAACTTGGAAGGAATGATGGCCCGGTGAAGATTCCAGAACAGCCCGGGACGAGTGCTGTCTCAAGAGAGGTGGGCAGCCAGAAAGGGCGGACAGACTCAACATCGAAGAACTGATCGCCCTCAGACAACCATGCTCTCCTGGGGGGCCCAGAGGACGTTCCTTTCAGCGAGGCGCTAACGACTGAGCTGGTGAGGGGGCAGGGCACCATGGAGCAGCTTGGCACCGCCTGGGCTCTGCAGGAGACGCTGTTCTAGAACCGAGCCCCCCGGCGGCCACGGTGATGATGGTGCGCCGGAACAGCACGAGCCTGGACCCAACTTATCCGGACCCAGCCAAGTGGGAGTAAGCCCTGTAACCGGCCGCACCGTGCAGCGGGAAGCAGGTCCCCCTGCGCCCGGGTCTAGCGGTGTCCAATGGGTCCCAGCGCTCCTAGGGCCAGGGACACGGACAGCCAGCCCATGCTCACACACACACACACGTGCACCCATGCACACAGATGCATATGTGCGCACATCCTCACACACGTGCACAGGCGCACACATTGCACATGCACATACATCTCCGTGCACACGCACACATGTATTTACACGCGCTCACGCAGTGCACCCATGCTTGCACACGTGCTCACACCTTCACGCACAAGCATGCTCACACATGTGCACCCCTGTGCACACACTACATGCACACACGTGTGCACACTTTCACACATGCACACGTGCACAATGCTCACACATGCATACATGTGCACACATGCTCGCACACACGCACCCACACGCACCCATACACACACACGCACACATGCACAGTAAGATCAAGGGTACGAGAGAAAGCTGTCACCAGCCACCTTGATGGAAATTCACACCATTTCCCGGGTGTACCTTTGGAAGTCTGTTGGATACAGGGTCTGAGCTAACTCTTGGCCACGCCACCTTGCAGCTGGGTGAGAGCAAGTGTCCCCACCCCGCCCAGTGGCTGGCCCCCAACACCCCCCACCCCCACCCTGAGTGCATAATCAAAATCCACTCATTTGGCTTCTGGTACAGCCCTCGTAGCTGGTCCTGGATCTGTGGGGTAACAGCTGTACCATGCACGAGGCCAAGAGGCTCCTGAAACTGCACCCCCCCCAACAAAGCAGCCTAGATCTACATAAACAAGTCCGCACCAGAATGGAATGGCAGTGACAAGTGCCACCGTCACGACTGTAAGTGTGTACCTTTGCCTTTGAGCCCCCAGGGCACAAGGACGCCGCTCCCCGTTACCCTCCCGCTCACTATGGAGACCTGGCACCTGGCTCAGGGCAGACGATGGGGACCGTGGCACATGTGGCCCAGGGCAGCTCCAGGCACAGCTGCGGAGCCCGAGGCGGCACGTTACCAGCGTGGACCATGCACGGCTCTGTGTGCGGCACACAGCCACCGACCTGACAGGGCCACCCTTCCATGCCCACAGGGGAGGGGCTAGGGCCAGCGTGCACGCACCCAAGGTGGACGACTGTACTTCCAGGAAACGCTTATTTTGGGTTGATTAGTCTTTGAAAGCCATGCCAAGCAGTTCAACGGGAAAACAGCAGCGTCTTCAGCACATGAATGAGTGGATATCCACGTGCAGGAGTGACCGTGGACCTGACGCTACCCATAAAAGTTAACTCAAAACGGACCCCAGACCTAAATGCAAGAGGTAAAGTGATAGAATGCGAAGAAGAAAGCGCAGAAGGAAATCTTCGATAAGACGCCAGACGCACAAAATAAGAGAGCAGGAGTGGAGACACCGTACTTCATCAACATGTCGCAAACGACCCCACCCGACGAGGAAAGAGAAAGCCACCGAACAGAAGAAACTATTTGCAGCTCATGTCTCCGACGAGTGTCTCAGGACAGGTGAACGGCTCTTAGCAATCATAAAAAGATAAGGAGGGTGGTTCCGGTGCTTTCGCGTGAACGGCTCAGAGTCCGTACATGCGGGGCCACACCTGCAGTCCCACCTCTGAACACCAGGGGCCGCCACCAGCAGTCCAGAGTCCAGGCCCCCCAGCCCGGACCGGGCAGTGTGGTGAACGTGGCTGACACCCAGCCCCCGCCTGACCCCTGTGCCCAGGGGCAGGCCCGAGGAGGCCGCACCAGGGCTGGGGTCTTCTGCCGGCTCAGACCGGTCCAGGGGCAGGAGGGCCACAGCTGTGACTGCTGCCATCTGCACCTATACCCCAGCTGCTTCTGTGAGCACCAGCTGTCCCTCGGGGACAGGTGCAGGGTTGATCCCGCGCTCACACGCGAGCTCCCCAGGAGCGCCCCCACCCTCCCGGGAGAAGCTCTGTGACCTGGGGCAGGCGAGGGGTATCTGTGGGTTTCGCTGTGTCCCCCCAGAGTGATGTCCTAACTCCCAGCTCCTTGGAACGTGACACAGAGTCACATAAAGAGAGGGTCATCTGGGTTAGGGTGGGTCCTAACCCGTGGGTGATGGGTGTCCCTATAAGAGAAGACACATGCATGTGCCCCTGGGGGCAGAGGTGGGAGTGATGCGGGC